TATTATAGCAAGTTCCCATTGGTCAGAAAGTTGAACAACATTCGTTCTGACACAACAATCGCTCACATGAAGTCGATCTTTGAGGAGTATGGAATTCCGAGCAAGCTCGTTACAGGCAACGATACACAGTTTACCTCAGCTCTATTCCAGAAATTCAGTGAGACCTACGGATTTGACCATGTTACCACAAGTCCATACTACCCACAGGCAAATGGTTTCATAGAGAGGACTGTGCAAACTGTCAAAGCTCTGCTGCAGAAATGCACGGAGTCGAACACAGACCCACATATGGCTATGCTGTGCCTAAGAACTTAGAAGCACACCATTACAGCATAACATTCCCTCGCCAGCAGAACTGCTTAACTCAAGAGTCTACCAGACCAATCTTCTAGCAACGCGAGCAGCATGTACACCGTGCCTAGTCGATGGTGACACTAACGCGAAGCTACAAGAGAGGCAGGAGAAACAGAAATTGCAGTATGACAAGCCATCTAAGACACTATCTGTGCTCCACCCAGGTGATTCTGTACGTTTACTAGATCCCCACAGCCATCACTGGGAACCTGGAGTGGTGAAAACCAGTGAACATAATCGCTCCTATGTTGTGGCGACAAATGGAAGCAGATTCAAGCGGAATCGTCGCCAATTGCGCCCTACAGGAGAAAGCTTCAGCAGCGGCCAGGCAGATATCGCATCAGAGCATGCACCAGTGCTCCCATCGCCTGATCCTTTGCCTGCTAAAAGCATATCGCAGGAACGCACTTCACCTCCAGCTACCCCGATTCGTCGATCAGCCAGAAAAGTGAAGCCACCTGAAAGATTAGACTTATGAACATTTTCTGTAGAGCCATATCATTGTTTTTACACAGTACTGTATTCGTGAAAGTTGAGTTCAATTTTAATCTTCAGAAAGAAGGGGATGTCATAGTTATGTTATAGGTCACGATAGATGGCAGCACTGGTCCGCCAGTGATGCACGTGTGGTTCTGCTGAGTAAACGTACTTGCCACATACTCTACGAGTTCCTTATCTAATTGCATATCCGTAGTACAAAACTATGACAAATAGTAGTGTTGTCAATCGGTTGTAATTTCGTAACCGATCATCGGTTGGACCCAAGCAACCGATGATCGGTTACAATCGGTTACTCGGGGTGTTGAATGCCTGCGTGTGCGTAACCTCGTGTGCATGTACGTGTGTGCATGTATGTGCTTGTTTAGCCCTGCTTACTGTTTGTTTTGCACCGTTTGCTACTGTGTGTAAAATACATGTATGATAATAAAGGATAACTTGTATAGTAGCGATGATATCTCTGATTCTCATCACTTCCAAGTTTTCTTGTTCAAATAAAAAAAAAAATTGAAATCGATTATGGATTTTGATAACCAAGCGCTTGGTTCGAGCCACTGTTCAACCGATGATCGAGTATAATCGATGATCGTGACATCACTAACAAATAGTATAAATCATAATATGTTCATAGCAGGAATTTTGCATTAAAGATATTGTCAATGAAATCTTGTAAAACGAACCAGACGAGTGTGACACCACAGACTGTTTGTTATCTGCGTGTCTATATAATATGCTATATAATTGCCAAACCCTACCTAATTTGCATAATTTTTTTTTAAATATCTAAACCCCTAGCCCTTATTCATTCACATACCAAAAATGAGCAAAATCCGTTGAACCTGAACTGACTAATGGCAATTCCCATTTTTGACAAAAAATTGCCGTGGCTCAAAAGTACGTCGACTGGTATGCTCCAAAATAGGACGTTTAATATGGGAGCATAGCAGTAACAACTCTACCCAATTTCAAACATGTGGGTCAAACGGTTCCTGAGTTATCGTTGACCGTAACCAAATGTTGACGGACGGACGGACGGACATCGACGTACGACGACCCATGGCAATAGCTCAGCTTGACGATGTCAAGGTGAGCTAAAAAAAAGAAGGAATAAGAAAGACTGAATAAGATTAAGAATAAGGAATAAGAATAAGAATAAGGAATAAGGAACAAGAAGAATAAGACGGGATAAGAAGAATAAATTCCCCGCACATTCCAAAGAGAGAATCAGTGCCTTGTGAAATACAATTAAGAGAGGGACCCCAAGATACAAGATACAAGATACAAGAACTTCACTATACCAATTATTACAGCTGGTGTGGTCTGGAATCAATCAGGATCAAATCGCATTGTTAAAACCCCCAACTGCCCTGATGATGCAAGATAGCTAGGTCTCCCAACCAATATTCCACCTACCTTGAATTCTGAATGCTCACCATTGGGAAATCACTGCTTGATAAATATAACAAAATAGTATTATGTTTAAACAAATTCTGTAATTTATTCTTTCTGTAATTACATTAGATTGTAGAATGATCAATACAATGCAATAACATGTTACTTGCTTTGAAAAATGTAACCAGTATATATTTTCCCATATATGACATTCATGTACAAATGCATCAATTAGACATCACTTTGTTTTTCATAAATTTAACTGGTATATAAACCAATACTGGTTTATTAGCAGTTATTAAGGCTGAAAGAGTCTATGCCCCCCAGGGTACTCCCGGCCCCCCCCCACTCCGAGGTCAGAAGGACCGCATGCGCGTTCCCAAAATCTCCGGTAAAGGGGTATTTTTCGCGCGACAAAATCCGGCCCAAGAATTGTAAAAAAGGGGGTGTATTTGACTTTTCACCCGGAGATTTCCTTAAAAAGGGGGTGTTTTTCCTCTCTCTCTTTCATCTTGAATATCATAAAAACTTTATCAAATCCTGGGATCAAATTCCTGAAATTCCTGCTAGTTTTGAAAGCTCATTCAGGATTATTTCAATTTGAAAAATAAAAATATTGCTTCCTAGTTCCCCTCGATCACTGAACTCTACACTACGTAGTGTAGACTGGTACCCGGTCGACAGTTCCACACGCTACACTAACGTCACTACGTCAGTGTAGCAAAAGATACGTACCGGAGTGAAGGTGGCGAACGGGTACCAGTCTATACGTAGTGTTCCGGATTTAGGGGGTTCTCCAAGGCAGGAAAAACCCGCAAATAGCCCGCGAAAGGGGGGTTCAGAAATTTTGGCAGTCATGAGATAGGGGGGTGCTTTCAAAGGGAGGGAACGAGCATATGCGTACCCCAGTCCTTGTGTTTTGAAAAAGGCAGGCGAGTGAAAAATCACACGCCTTGGCTTGCCAAGGTGTGTGATTTGCATCCGAGTGCCCGCAGGTCACGAGGCAAACTAGGGGGGTTCGGCAGCATGTCCCCCCAGAAAAAATTGAAATCTAGACTTCATGAAATGCCATTTCCAGCATTTTGGGATAAAAATTAGCTCGGCATTTGTACTCTTAATTTGACATTTTTATCAGGTGATTTTTTTTCATTAACAAAAATACAGTTCTGAACTATTGATGGTATAACTTGATATCACACATTTAGCAGTGTTTGTCAAAAAAGAACAACACTCAATTTTTCAAAGCAGACTATTAATAACTTTACATAGTATTCTGCCAACTCATAATACTTCAGTTCCTTGTTGCATTTTTTGTCAATTTGTAGGTATTTCAGTTTCATTTCAAGAAAATCATAGATGTTTTGCAATAAAACTTCACTAAACACCTTACATCAGGCTTTTATTTTCATTGTCAGCTGCATCTTCATCACCAGTCGTCGATCTGCTGTAAAGCAATTGCAATACGTTAACAGTCATGTATCATGTATGGCTCGCGTATTGCAATAGGCCGGGCGGTTTTGCTGTTTTGTTGGTTTTGTGGCGGTTCCGGAGGCGTGTTCAGGAGAGCGAGCGCTCGATGCGAACGCTCAATGAACGAAGCGCATGCGCCTCCTGAACGACACACGATGCGCGTCCTGTGGCTCGCTTTGCGCATTAGCTTGTATCAAAGATTGGCGGCCCCCATGGAGGCGTTACTCAGCAGATTTTTAATCGCGAGAGAAACAA